CATAGCCCTTTAGGCGCTGAAAATGCGCTTAATAATGATTTCGCATTATACTGAGATTGAACGTCCTAATAGATAAATAATCAACGTCATCATTTGTGTATGCTTTTCATGTGCCCACACATGACGTTCCTTCGATTGATATTTGTCTCAGTAACAGCACAATCAATGCATTTTTTGAAAAAAAATTAACCAATCCTGAACCTATTGCGGAACACTAAACAGCAATGCGATGGGCGATTTAAAGCATTTCGTTTAGGTATAAATTGATTGAAGCATAATCGCTGGTTAAAAGTTTGAAGCGATCTGCTTAACACATGCAACACTGTGCAGTACAGCTCAGTGGTATCGGTTCGGTGCTGGTCTTTATAAAGAATTTGTATGACTGAGAATTTAGTTTTGGATGAAATCCGTTTCATGATTGAGTAGGAAGTTTGCGCTGATCTTGCTGTATTGTGTCAGCGCCTGTCCGAAAATATCTGGCGGGTTACCAATTTTACTTATGTGTTATCCCCATCAATGCTTTGTCACTTAGACGTATATGCTTAGCGTCATTGCACAGCGGAATGCAGCCGACTGTGTAATTAGTGTCATAACGCAGCAAACGCGAAAAAAAACACTGGTCTTAGGCACACAAAATGTTGACTAAATGTAGATTTGCTGTATATTGCTTGTCAGAAAAGTTTTTCCCAAAGCTTGGCACAAGTTGGTTACACATCGGCTTTAAATATTTTACCTGCTGCCCATAGTATTTAAAAGAAACGCACATTTCACTCGAAACGGTTCAGTCGTAAGTGATGTTTTTACAACTTGTGATTTAAGGGGAAATATTTTGAAAATATGTGTCAACGTATTTTTTAGATTTCATGGATTTCCCTCGCGCTATATTCCTTTAAGTAAATAACAAACTGGTTTATGTCATAAACCGGAACATATGCAACATACATAATGCAGAGGAGTAGGGTGGGTGTGCGAGTAAAATGCCCGGTCAATAACGTTGTCCTCAATAAATTTACAAACACCATAAATGGAGAGCAATATTTTTTGAGCATAATGGGCAAATTACAGTACAGGAGCAGCTTCAGATACCATTTAGGCGGAGGAGGAGGATGGCAGTGGGGGTTCAGGAATTCGGTCGGGGTTAAGTGTCCTAGTAGGGTTAGGTGGGGTTAAAAACGTGTGCCGTCGTTCGGGTGCTACAGTTATATCTTGAGGATGTCACCGTGTTCGGACACAGTGCCTAACAACGTAACGAGAATCTTACTTCATTACTCTCTGCTTTGCGTTATCTCGACCTATGCTTAAGCCCATAGAATTAGAACTTTTTGTGTTTTTTACAGTCACTTTCCTCGGGCAAGAATTCGACCAGCAAAGCCTACATGATCACCGGAGGAAGAAGAAATTGTCAAATCATGGTTCACGCCCAAACGCTCACGGAAGTCACAGTCTTTCTCGATCGGCCTCCTTCTACCTCATTTTCATCATCCATCTCACGGAGGTAGCAAAGTCTCCAACACCGTCCTTCAGAGAAAGAGGGCCGTTCACCTTATTTATCGATTATTAGTTTGCCTTGTACGAGTTAAAGTCCAGAATTGTCGTGGAAACCATATTGATGTTGTCGATCAGAAGAGCTGGCATTCCGTCCTTTCTTTTATATGGTGACACTAGTGGGTTTGCATCTGAGTTCGAGCTTTCATAAGCCGAAGAATCAGGCGTTGAGCGCCTTATTTGCTTTGTGGCCAAATCATTATTCAAAAATGACTGTAATTCTTAAACTTACTGTCGGCGGCTGTCAGCCCTGACCGTTCATTTTTGGCTGTCATTTCATCTGTCGCAAAGAGATGCAGAGGGTGCAGAATAGGTCGGAAGGGAGCTGAAGGCTAACTAACAGGATGGCAGGAGGTTCTACACGAATCATTTTACCCGCAAGTAGCGGCTAGACCACAAACACCTCCACACTGACGCCTTTTTTCGCCGACCACATAAATCACGTACAGTCAAAACTGACTGGGCGGTTAACAATTCAGACGTTTTCATGATTAGTAATGTCCATTATGTGCACGACAAACAGCGAAGGAGTGCCGACCGTCACTTTCGCGTAAATTACTCAATGATGTTAGCTGACTTTTGCTGCATCAATCTCACCTTCTTTTTGTCCATCGACCGAGCTCGTTCTTATGAAATATTAAAGAGGACCACAAAATAGAGAGGACGTAGGGCATTTGAAGGGCAAAAACCGTCGTTTAGGCGTACCAATGTACCTCTTACTTCTTTCAAGGTCTTAATTTAACCAAATAGAGAGTAAGAGGTCGAAAAATCCCCGAAAATTTACCAAAGCAACGAAGAGATGACTGGTGCTTTAGAGATTTCATGTGAATGTCAGCCGTGAAATGATCAAGAGATTTTTACCTGTGGTGTGGCATGATTAAAGGTAGATCCATTAGCATACACCCGCACCTGAATCAGCATTGAACACGTTTGGTTGCTACCAGATGACCCAAAATTACCAAAATCAATGTAAGCGTAAACGCACGGATTAGTCTGCAGATTCCAGCAGCCAGGACAACACTTAAGTCGCATAGGTCATCCCCTGTACATCGTCTATCTGACCGACATTTTCAAACGACTCCGTATGACACAGCAGTGGACTGGCTCACTTAGCAGCCTGTCTGAATGACTGACAGGCCTGATCCATCACACACTTAGTCTGACGGTTATCTTCAATTTTACCAAGGTCCGATAACAGTTCAATTGATGGAACGACATAAAAAATTTGCTTACCACTACAAATTTGTTTGCATGGTCAAGTAAGCCACCGTCTGACGTTGGGAATATGGCTTCTCGAATTAAGCAGAAATTTTCTGTACTATGGCCATGGTAGGTTTTTTCGACGCAAATACATTTTTTTGTCATTCCTCTGGTCCGCGAATACGTGGACTATCACATTAAGGCCGTTGACAGCAAATGATTCCTGATATTTTCGATATCTTACACGATGCGTATTTTACTGGATTATCAAGCCACTTCAAGAAAATGTCCTTTTGTGCAGAAAATGTGTCCAAGCAAATGACCCTGAATTTGGGCCATAATGGACGCTGCAATGAACTCGGAAAATTGCCTGTAGTATTGTCTGCCTTAGACTTCGACCGTAACTCTGCAAAAATGTTTATTCGACCAGACAGTAATTTACTTCTGCGAGGTCTACTAAAACGCACGTGCTGTACTTGGGAGCTGGCTATCCCCGATTTTATCCATATGAACTATTTTAATTATGTGAAGTGTTTTCTTTAGTAAACAAAGATTTTTGCCAGATTAGCAAAAAAATGGACGATATTTTGCTTGTATTGCGGGCATGCGATATATTTGAGATTTGAAGTGTTAACGTAAATGACGTATACATACATACATAAGATGCCCTGTCTTATAAATAATTGACTTAAACCCTGAACTATTTCTTGGCTTGTGAAGATAACATGGAACGAACTTTAATACTAATATTATCTCAAGGCCTTTCAAGTGCGCTATGGAACGGGATTTTCTACGGGCTTCTTTCCAGCAACCTGCAAAAGCCACATTCTGTAACGCTGACTATTTAAGAAGTATGACACATTTAGTTTGATGTCCGCTGCCATTGTATTCAGTTTCAGTTTTATTGAAGGATATTTAGGTCTTCACCTTTGAACTCCTTATTTGTTAACGAGCAACTGAAACGTTTCAAAAACTTAAAAAAATGTATCATAAAGGGAAAAAATCAGCGGAAAAATGCCAACCGTGTACTAATAGACAAACTGACTTGAGTGTTAGGGGTAGGGGCAATAGTAAACTAGTCAATTGCAATGTATTAGAAGAAATATTATCCACGGTGAAAAACGGATCATAGGTGCATGCCGGTAAGCGTAGGAGGCAATGAAAAATTCAATTAAAATGTTACTAAATTATATGAAATATGATTATAACAATAGTGTTTGCGCATTTGTCAAGGTGGAAGGAGTCGGGTGGCATTTAGTTGACACCACTATAGAAATCCACCTTCTCCTTAAAGACATTGACGTAAGCAGACAAAAAGATATCCGAAAGCCGGGCATTCCAAGCTTCGAATACTCCGTTAGGGAAAAACTTTCAGATTTCCACCCTGGCCTCAGCCACGCGTAGTTTTGTGGTAGCTGCTAACTCAAATAAGTCCCCCGACACAAGGCTGCAGTACTGGCCGCGTATGATACGGAATGTTTCTATTAGGTCACCCTGTAGCTGCCTGTAACTCGAGGGAAAACGATCAAGATTATCTAACCTAGTTTCATATGCTTGTGAACCCTGTCCTGTCATTTGTTTAGTTGCATGCCTTTGATCCATTCCGACGATGATGATGCCATTTGTTGTCCAGGGTTTCCAAGCTTGGATAGCGAATTCCAATCTCGGCCGTACGGACTTTCGAAAGACTTTAACGAGAAGGCCCGTTTGAAATAACATAATACCTTCCTGCAGTGAAGCGATGGTTTGAGCGAGATCTTGATCTGTATTCCCAAGTCCTCCTGCGTGTGTACTACTTGTAGTGATATACCATTTGACTTTCGCCTGCACAATTGTATCTCTGCACGGCAACTATAATTAATCAGAGACCATAGTTTGACTTCAGATCGGCTTTTAATATCATATCTAGTGCCCACAATATTTGTACGAAACGTACATTTCACTCGAAACGATTCAGTCAATAGTGATGTTTTTACAACTTGTGATTTAAGGAGAAATGTTCTGAAAATATATATCAACGCGATTTTCAGATTTCCTGGATTCCACTCGCGATAAAATGCTTTAAGTCAATAACCGGAACATATGCTACCTACATAATGCAGAGGGCAGTAAGGCTGTACGCGTAAAATGAATGCTCGGTCAAGAACGTTGTCCTCTATGAATTTTAAAATACACTAAATGAAGAGCAACATGTTTTGTTCTTTTATAATTGTGCAAAATGGACAAATTGCAGTACAGGAGCCGCTGCAGAGGCAATGGAGGCGGAGGAGGAGTATGGTATTGAGAGACTCAGAAATGCGGCCAGGGTTGAGTGTCCTCGTGTGGACAGTCTTATGTTCTCTGCCATGCTGATGGACGCCTACCGCGACGAACGCCCCGGGATACGCATCGCCTACAGGACTAACGGTCACCTCCTGAATCAACGGCGGATGCGCTTCCAATCGCGCGTATCCACAACCACCGTTCTTGAACTCCTCTTCGCCGACGACTGCGTTCTAAACACCACCTCGGAAGAGGAGATGCAACGGAGCATGGACCTGTTCTCCGCCGCCTTCGAGAACTTCGGTCTGGTCATTAACACGCAGAAGACGGTGGTCATGCACCAAGCGCCACCCAACTCAGCCACAGCCCCCAACGCGCCGCCGCAAATCAGCGTGAAGGGGACTCAACTGCAAGTGATGGAGAACTTCCCGAACCTGGGCAGTACCCTCTCCCGGAACACCAAGATCGATGACGAAGTCGCCAACAGGATCTCGAAAGCCAGTCAAGCCTTCGGTCGCCTCCAAAGCACAGTTTGGAATCGGCATGGTCTTCAACTGAGCACGAAGCTAAAGATGTACAAGGTCGTCATCCTGCCGACGCTATTTTACGGAGCGGTGACCTGGACGGTGTACACGAGGTAGGCACGTCGACTGAATCACTTCCACCTCAGCTGTCTTCGTCGCATCCTGAGGCTGAAGTGACAGGATCGCATCCCCGACACTGATGTGCTAGAACGTACGGGAATGCTCAGAATCTACTCCATGCTCAGACAAATTCAGCTGCGCTGGAGCGGCCACCTGGTGCGCATGGACGACGAGCGACTACCCAAACGACTCTTCTACGGAGACGCCGGGACGGGTTCTCGCCGTCAAGGAGACCAGGTTCGCCGCTACAAGGATACCCTGAAGTCTTCCCTGAAGCGCCTGCAAATCAACCCGACCAAATGGGAAGAGCTCGCACTCGATCGGCCGACCTGGAGGAGGACAGTGAAGACAGGCGCTGCGATCCACGAAGCCAATCGCATAGCCGCCGCCAAGGCGAAACGTGAAGCCCGCAAATCACAACCTCGCCCAGTACGCATCGCCGCCGCACAACCGCTTCCAATGTGTCCTCGATGTCAAAGGACATTCCGGGCTCGAATCGGACTTGTTGGACATCTTCGGACCAACTGCTCCTCTCGAACTGCACCAACTATCCTCCCCCAGCCCGCCTCTGCCTCCCCGCCGCCGCCAACTAACTCTGACAATGCTTCTGAACCACCAATTCCATCCTCCTCCTCCTCCTCCTCCTCCTCCTTCTCCCCCACTGCCCCAGCGGCGGCCGCTCAGGCGGCGTCTCGCACATCAACCCCTACACAAAAACCGACACCACCCCCACCTCTCCCGTTTCTAGTGATGAGGATCAGGACTACACCTGCCCTCACTGAGGTCGTACCTTCACCTTACGCATCGGCCTGGTCGGTTACTTGCGAATCCATCGCACAGGGACTGGCGAATTAGTGCCTGGAGCATCAACCTGCACCCACCGCACTCGCCTCCACTGCCCACACTGTCCTCGCACATTCCGGCATCGCATGGGCCTATTCTGCCACATGCGCATCCACGAGAGCGGAATTCACCGCAACCTCGACACACCCACCCCGCCGAGCCCCCCCCAATTCATCACATTGCGCACCCACAAACCGCTCCTCAACCGACATCGACGCCACCGACTCTACCACCTCTCACTCCTCCCCGTCCTCCTCCTCTTCCTCCTTCACTGCCACAACGACGGCCACTCCGGCGTCTGTAGCGCACGACTTCACCACAGCCGCACCTGACACAACAACAGGCACAACCCCTGCAACCTCCCTCATCAGAGGTGAGGGCCAGGACTACATCTGCGCTCACTGCGATCACACCTTCACTGCCCGCATCGGCCTGGTCAGTCACTTGCGAATCCATCGCACAGAGACTGGCGAACCAGTGCCTGGCGCACCAACCTACGCCCACCGCACTCGCCTCCACTGCCCACACTGCCCTCGCACCTTCATGCATCGCATGGGTCTATTCGGCCACATGCGTATCCACGAGAGCGGAATTGACCACAATTCCGATACACCAACCACGCCTATCATGCTCAGCACCACCCTCCCACCATCCGTCTGCACTACCACCAACGCCTCCTCTGTGGCTGAAACTGACACCGCCGAATTCACATGCCCACACTGTCCACGCACATGCACCTCACGAATTGGCCTGGTCGGTCACTTGCGAATCCATCGCATAGAGACTGGAGAACCAGCGCCTGGAGCACCAACCTACACCCACCAAGTTCGAATCAGCTGCCCACACTGTCCCCGCACTTTCAGGCACTGCATGGGTCTATTCGGTCACACGCGCATCCACGACGACCTGCGGTAGACAACCGCCGGTTACACCATACATTCACACACTTCATACCCTCCTCCACCATCACCACTGCGCATCAACACTCACCCACCGCATGCACCAACTGCCACCTTCCACGCAAGTGGGAAGTGTGCATCTCGACTCGGTCCCCATGCGGCCTCGGCTGCACGGGTGACTTGAGTCCGAGGCTATCCCGACACGCTAAGTGTCGTGGATAGGAAGGTTGCTGATTGACGCTCGATCTCGGTTCACGCAGTTCGTCACGTTGTATGTGTGTGTGTTGTGTGGAGTGGCGGACTGGTGGGCCGGGAACGGGCTGAAACAGCATCTTTCACGGCACTCTCACGCAAGCGAGTGACACGCCGTTCAACCCCCGTTGTGTGAAATCCTGGTGTTGTGTGTATGGGGGGCCAGGTCGTGCCGTGGCGCGCGCAGTCATGGTCATTCGACCATGACAGCCACCGCGCCCATTCCCCACTCCAGTCTGCTGACCGGCTTGGACAGCGGCTGGGGTGTGGGAGTGGGAAGGGAGAGTGATGTCGATGACTAAGCGCACTTTCTCCTCACTATAAACAATCTGACGCGCTTGAAGCTATCACGGTGCGCTAAAAGCCGTGGCTTGGAAGGTTGCCAACTGACGGGGTACCTTGGACCTCTTCCTTTACTGGAGGCGGTCTGAGAGTCAGGCTGCAATGGCTCCTTTTTAATGTGGCCTTTATGGCACTCCCACTACAGTGTGGGATCCGAGCCAGGCGTTGGCGGCACGCCCAGATGCGGCTTCGGACGTGCCAGCCTCCAAATCTCTGTTGTGTTGGTTAAAATCCTGGTTATTGTTGTGTGGACCAGGGGGTATGGTGGAACGCCAAGGTGAGGATCCGTCCGAGCCATCCACCTGCGGCCTCCTTCGTCTCCGGTCTTCTTGACTCTGTCTTGACACCGGGCTCAGGCGGGGGAGGAGGAGAGAGTGTAGGTAGATGCAGCGCATGTCTACCCGCACTATAAACCCCTGCGCAAGTCACCGTCCCTGCTCCCACCGCTGCTGCAGCTGTGGGGCGCACGATGGACATCATCGAAATCGATGGTCGAACTGTCGGGTAGGTGGGGTCAGTAAAGTGTGCCGTCGTTCGGGTTTTACAGTTAAATCTCGAGGATCTCACCGTGTGCGGACAGACTGCCTAACAACGTAACGAAAATCTTACTTAATTACTCTCTGCTGTGCGTAATATCGACCTGTGCTTAATCCCATGTAATTAGAGCTATTTGTTTTTTTTAAATTTACTTTTCTCGGGCATGAATTCCACCAGCAAAGCCTACATAAACACCAGAGAAAGAAGACATTGTCAAATCTTGGCCCACACCTTAATACTCACGGAAGTCACGAGCTTCCTTGGTCGGCCTCATTCTACCACCGTTTAATCATCCAGCTGGCGGAGTTAGCAAGGTTCCCGACACTGGCCGTCGGAGGAAGGAGGCCCGTCCAACGTATTCATCGATTTTTAAATTGCCTTGTATGGCTTAAAGTCTACAATTATCGTGGTAACAAAAGAAGAAATGACATTCCGCCCTCCATTTCGGATAGTGACGCCGGCGGTTTTGTTACTAAAGACGAACTGCACAAGCCGAAGAAACAGGCATTGAGCGCCTAATTTGGTTTGTCGCCAAATCAGCACCTAAAAGTGATTGTAATTACTAATCTTACCATCGCGAACTGCCAGCCCTTACCGTTCCTCTTTGGCACTCACCTCATTACTCTCAACGAGATGCAGTCGACACAGATGATGACGGGAGCTGAAGGCTAAATAGCAGGATGACAGGAGGTTCTCCAAGAATCAATTTCATCCACTAGTACCGATTCGCCCTCACTGACGCGTTTTGCCGCCGACCACCTAACTCACGTACAATTAACACTGACTTGGCGGCTAATCATATAGCCGCTATCACGACCAGCGATGTCCACCATGTGCTCCACAAACAGAGTGGGAGTAGAGACCGTCACTTTCGCGTGAACTCCTCTACGGTGTTACCTGACGTTTGCTGGCTCTTCAACTACCTCGACCGAGGTCGGTCTCACAAAAGATTAAAGATGACCACAAACGAGAGTGGGGTTAGGTATTTTGTAAGACAAAAAAACCGCGTTTAGGCATACTAACGCACCCATAGGTTCATGACAGATCCTCATTCGACCAACTTGAAGGTAAGTGGACGGAAAACCCCAAAAGTCTACCAAAGAAATGACGACATGTCAAGTGATGTAGCGCCTTTGTGTAGATTTCAGCCATGGAAATGGTCAAGAGAGTTTTACCTGAGGTTTCGCCTGATTGATGTTAGATACTGAGGGCATACATCCTCAGCAGAATTAGCAATGAATACGTTTGGTTGCACCGTGTGTATGCTACCAGATGACCCCAAATTACTTAACTCGGTGTCAGAAACCTGCGATAAGAGTAAACACACGGTCTAGTCTGCAGAGTCCAGCAGTCAGGACAACATTTGAGCCGCATAGGACATCCCCTGTACATCGACTGTCTGACAGACAGGGCCAACCGACTCCATCGTACACAACAGTGGACTGGGTCGCCTAACAGCCTGTCTGACTGACCGGCAGGCCTGACCCATCACATGCTTCGTCTAACAGTTTTCCCAAATTTCAACTAGATGGTTAGCAGTTCAGTTGAAAAGACGACTAAAAATTTGCTTATCGCTAAACGTTTGGTTGTACGGTCAACTGAGCCACCGTCTGACGTTGAGACTATGGTTGATAGAATTAAGCGGAAATTTTCTGTCATCTGGGCAGGGTAGCTTACTTGACGCAAGTCAATTTGTTTTTTCCTTCCTATGGTCCGCGAATACGTACCTTATCAAATTAACACCGACGATAGCAAAGGGTACCTGATCTTTCGGAGGTCTTAAACAATGCGCATTTTACTGGCTGGTCAAGACACTTCTGGAAAATGTCCGATTGTGCAGAAAATGTGTTCATATAATTTTATCAAGCAAATGCTCCTGAATTAGGGCCAAAATGGACTTTGCGATGTAATCGGACAATTGCCTGTGGTATTGTCTGTCTTACACTTCGACTGCGCATCTTTTAGAATACCACTTCAACTAGAGAGCAATATACTCTCGAGAGGTCTACTAAACTGCACGTGCTGCATTTGAATGCTGGTTTTTTCCTCGATGTTATCCGTAGGAATCACTTTAATTATTATAAGGGTTACTTTGCCGTAAACAAAGAGTTTTACCGATTTTGAATGTCAGATTGGTAACGCTGTACGATTTGTTGCCTGCTGCGTCGTTAGAATGCAAATAATAGTTTTCCGTTCAGATATGCTGATAGTAGTTTATCCTCTGGAAAAGTCGTTGTTGTTTTACCAAAGTGGCTACCACTGAATAGTCATTTTTATGTTTAAACATAAGGAACAATACATTTTTTCATCTAGCATATTTTGAGACGTAATTGAAAAGCAGAACAACACTAATATTAGCGGTTTGATCAAGCCCCAGCATCAGTGCTAGCTAACATAAGGCGCTTTAGGCATGCATCCTTTTTATTGCACACGTTTTGACTGCCCAATATCAGTTCCTCCATAAAAACTGACAATTAAGTAAATTTGTGTACTTGTAACTATATAGAAATATGCTGTTCGTAGGACAACGCGCATATAGAGTCCGCGAAGATTTCCGCTGTTCGTATTACATTTGAGACACCTACACACCAAAACAAGGAACTATTACATGTGAGATGAATTTGTTAGTTATGGAAATGAATCTAATGTGTCCCAAGGGGCAGGGTTAGTTAAACTCCCGGTTCATTATGCTATGAGCGGGAAGTACGACTACAACGCTGGATTTGGGGATGCAGATGTCAGTTCCAGTTTGGAGCTTCTAGCTAACGCGGCCTTCGACTGGACAGCAACGAAATCATCCAAAGCTGACCAATCAACGTGTGAGCGGGAAAACTGCACCCAGCCTTATCTAGTGTTCATAACTGCAATTGCAAAAACACAAGAGAAATACTACACTTCAACAGCAATCATCCCTTTCTCACAAACGTAACTGTGTCCACGCTCAATTCCAAAGAGTTGAGACAGACTGGGGGACAATTATTTGAACTAAAATAATTTTATGATCTCTTTCTTGACAGTGGATATTTAAGCTACTTTATCACGCAAAGCAAGCGCGGAATAAACAGACGCCGGCCACAGGAAGTAGGAATAGATGTGTGGATGTCTAGTCCTTACAATAAACCATACAAGAACAAAACGTCTGACACTTGAGATGTCAACTCCATCAACACGCATCTAGACCTACATGAGGCAATAAAGTTCTTCGTCATTGCGTACGCTATGACCAGGGCACGATGATCCCACGAGCTAACTCACTATGTAGACTAATCCACCCAAAATGGTGTAACAACACATTCGAACCCAACTGGGTGACGACGCACAACAAAGGAGGCCACCAGCGTTTGCGAACGACGGTCGAGGTTCAAGGCAGTGTACATAGAAGAAAATCTGTTAGTCTAAAATCAGCTAATTCGGCCGTCCATTCAGTAAGCATTATTATAATGAAGAGCCGACCAAGATCTTCGAAGCACCAGCATTTTTATACCCTTGATCCGGTGAGCATTTCATTTTTCTCAGATTATCGAACCTGATCTCTTAAGGTTTCAAGCCTGATTACAACAGATATTTTCTTTTCAATGTTTATTTGTTAACGGATAGCATGATCTTCAGGTTTTTCGTTCTATTTCAAATATGATTTGGAATTTACAAGTAATCTTCACCATAGCCTAACGTACAGTTTTCAAACTAAAACCGTGAATATATTGGCAGAAAGCGATTAGCATATTAGGCGCTATGGTGTATGTCAAATATCTTGGATGTCGCCATTTGAAGGTACAATATCACATAATTTAAAATGAATCACATTTATCATGGCTGCCAGTGGCTATTTTGTCCCTAAGACTAAACTACAATTACAGACACTCATGTGTTGACACTTCAAATGCT